CCACTTCCTCGTTGAGTCAGAGCGAGAGCGAGCGTAGCCCCGGCAGCAGCGGGACCGGGGGAGCGCGGCGGGTTGTGACTGTTTTTGTACTGTTTTTACTGGCACTGACAGCGTTAAAGCTCCGAGTGACTGAGCGCGACCTCTGTGTCACTGAAACCCGACAGAGCAGGTCTAAAACCAGGTCTAAATCAGGTCTAAACCAGGTCTAAATCAGGTCTAAACCAGGTCTAAAACCAGGTCTAAATCAGGTCTAAAACCAGGTCTAAATCAGGTCTAAACCAGGTCTAAACCAGGTCTAAACCAGGTCTAAAACCAGGTCTAATCCAGGTCTAAACCAGGTCTAAACCAGGTCTAAACCAGAACTAAAACCAGGTCTAAACCAGGTCTAAACCAGGTCTAAAACCAGGTCTAAAACCAGGTCTAAACCAGGTCTAAACCGTCTAAATCAGGTCTAAACCAGGTCTAAATCAGGTCTAAACCAGGTCTAAACCAGGTCTAAAACCAGGTCTAAATCAGGTCTAAACCAGGTCTAAATCAGGTCTAAACCAGGTCTAAAACCAGGTCTAAATCAGGTCTAAACCAGGTCTAAAATCAGGTCTAAACCAGGTCTAAACCAGGTCTAAAACCAGGTCTAAACCAGGTCTAAAACCAGGTCTAAACCAGGTCTAAAACCAGAACTAAAACCAGGTCTAAATCAGGTCTAAACCAGGTCTAAAACCAGGTCTAAAACCAGGTCTAAACCAGGTCTAAACCAGAACTAAAACCAGAATTAAAACCAGGTCTAAATCAGGTCTAAAACCAAGTATAAAAATGGATTTAACCAGGTCTAAACCAGGACTAAAACCGGGTCTAAAACCAGAACTAAACCAGGTCTAAACCAGGTCTAAACCAGGACTAAAGCAGGTCTAAAATAGGTCTAAATCAGGTCTAAATCAGCACTAAGCCAGGTCTAAACCAGGACTAAAACCAGGTCTAAAACCAGGTCTAAAACCAGGTCTAAACCAGGTCTAAAACCAGGTCTAAACCAGGACTAAAACCAGGTCTAAAACCAGGTCTAAAACCAGGTCTAAACCAGGTCTAAACCAGGTCTAAACCAGGTGTAAGCGTGTGTTGTGAGTGTTTTTCCTGGCACTGACAGCGTTAAAGCTGTGAGTGACTTGGTCTGAACCGCTGTGTCAGTGAAACCCACCAGCTGTGAGGCCAGAGCGGAGGAGACAAAACAACAGCGTCAGCCTGTGGTTTGGGGGCATTCTTATCACTTTGACATTTCGGAGCTCCACGGAAATGGCTTTTTGTTTGATTTTTCTCATCACGATGTGCATGTAGGTCTGCAATATAAGGTTAATTTTGTTCCAGTGTTGCTGCTTCAGTTGAATGTTGAAAAGAAAAAGAAAAGGGCCACATTTAAAGTCCAAATATTCAACTTATGGATCCTTTTATTGCTGCTTCAATTTCTGCTTTTCATTGTTTAAAACTTGAGTAATATTAATAGTTCAGAGAGCAATAAAATATCTTCATTTATAGGGGTGTGCACAAATATCAAAATATCGACATATCGTGTCATTTAATGTGATGATACGATATCGATATCATGGGCTCCTGTATCAATCACCAAGAGTATTTTTTGGTATATTTTACTAAATTATTTTGTTACAGTTCTACAGTTTTGTTGTTTGTTCAGAGGAAGGAAACTCGTTCATGCGACACATTTGACATTTTCACTGTTTTGATGATTAAAATGTGTTTCATATGAATTTTTCACAAAAATAGTTTAAAGTTTAAAGACTTTTAGAGTCACAGACATGATTTAGTCTTTATTTTTTATTGAATCATTTCGAATCGATTTGAAATATATCGTATCGAACTGAAAGTGTGCTGTATCAAGGAATGTATCGCCTATGTATCGAGGTATGTATCGTATCATGGCTTATGTATCGAGATATGTATCGTATCGTGGCCTATGTATCGAGGTATGTATCGTATCGTGGCCTATGTATCGAGGTATGTATCGTATCGTGGCCCATATATCGAGATATGTATCGTATCGTGGCCTATGTATCGAGGTATGTATCGTATCGTGGCCTATGTATCGAGGTATGTATCGTATCGTGGCCTATGTATCGAGGTATGTATCGTATCGTGGCCCATATATCGAGATATGTATCGTATCCTGGCCTATGTATCGAGATATGTATCGTATCGTGGCCTATGTATCGAGGTATGTATCGTATCGTGGCCTATGTATCGAGATATGTATCGTATCGTGACCTATGTATTGAGATATGTATCGTATCGTGGCCTATGTATCGAGATATGTATCGTATCGTGGCCTATGTATCGAGATATGTATCGTATCATGGCCTATGTATCGTATCGTGGCCTATGTATCGAGATATGTATCGTATCGTGGCCTATGTATCGAGATATGTATCGTATCGTGGCCTATGTATCGAGGTATGTATCGTATCGTGGCCCATATATAGAGATATGTATCGTATCGTGGCCCATATATAGAGATATGTATCGTATCGTGGCCCATATATAGAGATATGTATCGTATCGTGGCCTATGTATCGAGGTATGTATCGTATCGTGGCCTATGTATCGAGGTATGTATCGTATCGTGGCCCATATATCGAGATATGTATCGTATCGTGGCCCATATATAGAGATATGTATCGTATCGTGGCCTATGTATCGAGGTATGTATCGTATCGTGGCCTATGTATCGAGGTATGTATCGTATCGTGGCCCATATGTATCGAGGTATGTATCGTATCGTGGCCCATATATCGAGATATGTATCGTATCGTGGCCTATGTATCGAGGTATGTATCGTATCGTGGCCTATGTATCGAGGTATGTATCGTATCGTGGCCCATGTATCGAGGTATGTATCGTATCGTGGCCTATGTATCGAGGTATGTATCGTATCGTGGCCTATGTATCGAGGTATGTATCGTATCGTGGCCCATGTATCGAGATATGTATCGTATCGTGGCCCATATATCGAGATATGTATCGTATCGTGGCCTATGTATCGAGGTATGTATCGTATCATGGCCTATGTATCGAGGTATGTATCGTATCGTGGCCTATGTATCGAGATATGTATCGTATCGTGGCCCATATATCGAGATATGTATCGTATCGTGGCCTATGTATCGAGGTATGTATCGTATCATGGCCTATGTATCGAGGTATGTATCGTATCATGGCCTATGTATCGAGATATGTATCGTATCGTGGCCTATGTATCGAGGTATGTATCGTATCATGGCCTTAGTATAATTTTCTATTGTGTACGCGTCGTTTATGTTGACAGTCGTTTATACTAGGGCTGGGTATCGTTCAGAAGTTGCCGATACTATACATACCTAGATACAGTGCACTTTTGATTTGATACGATATTTCAAATCGATTCAATCCGGTAAAAAAAAAAAAATCAAAGCCTAAATCATGTCTGTGGCGCTAAAAGTCTTTGTTAAACCACTTCTTGTGCAAAGTTCATATGAAACACAAACATTTTAATCATCAGAACAGTGAAAATGTCAAATGTGTCGCATGAACGAGTTTCCTTCCTCTGAACAAACAACAAAACTGTAGCTGTGTCAAAATAATTCAATAAAATATACTAAAAAATACTGTATCATCACATTAAATGATCCGATATTTTGATATTTTTGCACACCCCTATTAATAAGAATATTTTATTGTTGACTGAGTGATCGTGTCTCTGAACTTTTACTATTACTCAAGTTTTAAACATTGAAAAACAAATTGAAGCAGCAATAAACGGATCAATAAGTCAAATATTTGGACATTAAATGTAGAACATTTGTTTTTCTTTTCAACATTTGAACCAGCCTCCCATACACATCTGTAAACCAGAACTAAACCAGGTCTAAACCAGGTCTAAACCAGGACTAAACCAGGACTAAACCAGGACTCAACCAGGTCTAAACCAGGACTCAACCAGGACTCAACCGGGTCTAAACCAGGACTCAACCGGGTCTAAACCAGGACTCAACCAGGACTCAACCAGATCTAAACCAGGACTCAACCGGGTCTAAACCAGGACTCAACTGGGTCTAAACCAGGACTCAACCAGATCTAAACCAGGACTCAACCGGGTCTAAACCAGGTCTAAAAATGGCTTTAACCAGGTCTAAACCAGTACTAAAACAGAATAAAAAACAGGCCTAAACAAGGTCTAAACAAAGTCTAAAACAAGGTTCAAACCAGGTCTAAACCAGGTCTAAACTAGGTGCAAACCTGAATTAAACCAGAACTCATACCAGGACTGAACCAGGTCTAGCTAAAACCAGGATTAAACCAGGATTAAACCAGGTCTAAACCAGGTCTAAACCAGCACTAAACCAGGTCTAAACTAGGACTAAACCAGGTCTAAACCAGGACTAAAACAGAACTAAAACCAGAGCTGAACCACGACTAAACCAGGTCTAAACTAGGACTAAACCAGGTCTAAACCAGGACTAAACCAGGTCTAAACTAGGACTAAACCAGGTCTAAACCAGGACTAAACCAGGTCTAAACTAGGACTAAACCAGGACTAAAACAGAACTAAAACCAGAGCTGAACCAAGTCTGCACCAGGTCTAAAACCAGGTCTAAACCAGTACTAAACCAGGACTGAACCATCTCTAAAAATGGACTTAACCAGGTCTAAACCAGAACTAAATACATTACTGAACATAAAACCGGTCCGTGGCTTTTAAAAGTTTGGGGACCACTGCTGTAAATAATTCCAGTCTCGTCTAGTCACATGTTCAACAATGACAGACGGCTCCACGAGGAAATGTTGTTCTGTTTTAAAATGTGAATCTGGTTTTGTTCAGACACAAACGTTCGCTTAGTCATAGTTTCACAGGATGTAGTGCGAGCAGAGTGTATTAGACATGCCACTCTCACATGCTCGTTTAGGACAGACAGGATGTTACAGAAGTTAAAGGTGTAAGATCGCTGTGGCGCAATTCTCACCCTCCAGAAGTACTTGCGGTTGGCATTTCTGGGCACCGCGTCGTCTGTGTAGCGTTCTCCGATGAGCGGGCCGAAGCGCGTGCCCTGAGGAATGAGCTCCGTGCTGGTCACGCCGACCACCTGAGGACAAAACCGAGAGAACGTTAAAGGAACTGTGTCAAGTCTGCATGATTCAAGGGTTAAGCAGGGACAAAACAACACAACTGAACTTTACCAGAGTCTTAACCTGCAGATGAAGGATGCATACAAGTTTGTTACATTCTCAGTTTATGAACAGGTCTAATGTGAAGCTCAGAACCTCCAGAATTCCCTCCCTGAGCTGCACAGGCTGCACTAGCACGGACTTATGTTTGGCTGTAGGCATTTCAGCTGTGAAACTGGCAACCCAAATGACAAACTCAAGTGAGGCTCATTCTTCTAGCTGATCAGATTTTCTTGAGAACAAAAAACACCAATATATAAAATATAAATATAAATATATATATATATTTATATTTATAAATATTATATTATATATATATATATATATATATATATATATATATATATATATATATATATATATATATATATATATTTTTTTTTTTTTTTTTTTAATTTTATAAATAGAAAGTATAATAAATAAATTATGTTATATGAAGATATTAATATAATAATATAAAAAAATAAGTAAAATATATTAAATAAATAAAATTAAATAAAACAGTAAAAAATGAATAGAAAGTAAAATAAATAAAGCATATAAAAATATGAATATAATAATATAAAAAAATAAAGTAAATAAAATTATATATATTTAAAAAAAAAATGTAAAAATAAATAAAATGAAAAAAAGTTTTTAAAAAGTAAAATAAAAATAAAATAAATACAAATTAAAATAGTATATTACATAAAATATGTAATATTTCCGGGTCTTCCTCCCGGGGAAGACCCAGGACACGCTGGAGGGACTAGGTCTCTGGACTGGCCTGGGAACACCTCGGGGTTCCCCTGGAGGAGCTGGAGGACGTGTCTGGGGTGAAGGAAGTCTGGGAGTCCCTGCTTAGACTGCTGCCCCCACGATAATATAAAAATATTGATATAAAAAAGTATTGATTCTCATGTTCTCATGTTAAAATACTGATAGTCCTACTATAGCTTTTTTATTTATTTATTTTTTTAAAAGCTATATTTGATCATATTTTAGTCTATTTGCACACTTAATTAAGTTGGAGCAAAAATATTGATTGCCTGTAGGTTCTGTATGAATTAAAATGTTTTTTGTTTATAGTCGTCGACTTTCAGTGCATTTAATTCAAGACTCTGCATCGGTATCAGATCGATATTGTTATACTTGCCATAATTATTTTTCACGAAACTGACTCGTCCATCACTAGACCAGTAGACCATGTAACCGGTCAGATCTGCGGAAAGGCGAGGTCACTCAGGAAAAAACGTGTTTTCAAGATTCTGAATAGATGCAAGATAAAAGCCTGATACAAAACTAATCTTAAAGAGCGAGTGTTATACAACGTGGACATTTTGGAGCTTTTTTTCATTTTGGAGAGGCTAATGTAATTGTAGACTGGATATCACAATATTTTTATAGTTACATCCCTAGTGTCAATGTTTAATTCCCCACAGAAGTGTAATACTCCTTCTTAAAAGAGTCAGATCTTGCAGTATGTGAACCTGTAATCCCGTAGAGGTTCTGGTGTGAACTTAGCGCCTCTCCTCTGAATATTTCATGCGCTAATCATCCTCTCCGTGTCTCTTCTCGTCTGTCGTATTAAAATTTCACCACTCGTCCTGTTCGGGCAGCTCGAGGTGTGAAACCAGGTCTGAGTTGTCCCCCCCCCGTAGCTCCAGGGCGGGGCAGATACGATGTCCCAATGTCCCGAGCGCCGCACATAACCCCCCCCCCCCAAGGCTTAACCCGCCCCTTTCATCCAAACCGCTACGTCGTATTGTACCGTAAGAGACAAAGGGGCGTAAAAGTTCAGTTATTAGATCCGAACGTGACTCACTTAAAAGAATGTGACTGTAATGTGGGCCGTATTGTAAAAGTTAAACCGTTGTCTGGATCCCATCTGGACGACACTAGAAAACACTTGTAGTTTGGTTTATTTAGCGATCTATTTACCGTAACTATAAATCGCTCAAGAGTCGGCCTGTAAGGATAATCAATAAATCAGTTAATTGTACGATAACTTTTAACAAGCTCGATAACTTTTCCGGCTGTGATCAATTCTATTTGCTTGCTCGTTTGTTTTTTTTCCCAATGAGGTTCATTTGTTCTTCCAATATTTTATGTTCTTAGGTTCACTTTTTCAGACCAAGGGTTTAGTTTCATACCTGTTTAAGCTGTTTTCCACAATATCAAATCGAATCAAACTTTATTTATAAAGCGCTTTTCATACAAAACTGTAAAACAAAGTGCTTTACGGTGATTAAAAACAATCCCACATTTCCATCCACCCACCAACCCAATACCCACACCTGCCCGACCCCACACAAGCAGACAACCCAAACACGCACACACACACAAACACGGTAAAATAAATAAAACGACGCATAGTAAAATGTGAGGGTGAATACAGTTGAGAAAGCAGCATCAGAGGAGCCGTCTGCACCAGGAGCAGAGAGACGTCCACCACCACCAGGAACCACCGCAGGGTCCAGGGGAGAGATGAAGCCCAAGCACCAACTCTCCACCAGGAGCCCACGGGACAGACCCCAGCAGCCCCAGCCGACCTCTGCTCCTGATGCAGAGGCTCCTACAGAGGAAAAAAAAACAATAGCGTCCACATGACCGATGTCACAAACCCAGAGAATTAGGAAAGCCCAAGTCACAGTGACGTGGTCCAATAAGGACGCAACTAGAACTCCTGTATCAGAGTATCAGAGTTTTCAGGCGTCCACACAGTGCAGGATCAGATCTGTGCTCAGATGAATTCGTGAAAGACATTTTCCATCGGAATTCCACCGGATTAGTGTGAACGAACACTGCATCCACGATGAAAATGACTCAAATATGCACTAGTGTTGGGAAAGTGACTTTTAAAATGTAATCCCCTACAGATTACAGATTACATACCCCAAAATGTAGTTTGTAATGGAATCCATTAAATTACTTAAGGTGAGTAACGTAATCTGAATACTTTGGATTACTTGATTTGCTGTAGAGAAGCAAAGACCAGGATATTGTAACATAAGATGTTTTGTCTGATAAAAGAAAATAAAAAGTCCAGACTTTATTTAACCAAATTAAAAATATTATTGATAGAAGATGAGGAAACACGTCCACACAGCAGGATTTAGTCCTTTTAAATCCTGTTTTAGTCCTTGTTTAGTCCTGATTTAGACCTGGTTTTAGTCCTGGTTTAGACCTGGTTTAGTCCTGGTGTAGTCCTGACTTAGTCCTGGTTTAGTCCTGGTTTAGTTTCCAGCAACGAGTGGAATTACTGAAAAAAAAAGGGGGGATATAGCCCAAAATGTGAAAACAGGAAAATACTGCCATGTAATCCATTTATTTCAACAAAGTAACTGTAATCCAATTACCACTCATTAAAACAGTAACTGTAACTGAATACATTTACTCATAATTTGTACTCTGATTACGTAACTCCAGTACATGTAATCTGTTACTCCCCAACACTGAATACACACTAGTGTGGACGGGGCCTCAGGTCCCTGTGTCTGTCCCAAAGTCCAGGCTCCCGGCAAACGCTGATGGAGCCTTTTCAGTTTAGTTTCGACTGCTCACTCGCGCTCTTCCTCAGAGTCACGTGATGTTTCTGTGACGTGTCAATCAGCTGATTTAAACAGGTTTTGGCGCCGTCTTTCTACCGGTGGAGGCAGGACGACAGCGCCACCTGCAGTCCCACTTCCTCAGGACATTATCCCAGGTGTGTGAGAGTAAAAAAGCCCCTCGTCCCGGTTTATCGTCCTTACAGACAAGACCTTCAGAGAGAATATTCATATTCATCTGAGTCGTGTCCTTTAGTCCGAAAGAAGCTAAACCACGTGAGCGGCGCAAGGAGTGAGCTGTTTATGTTTCTGTAAAACATAAACACATGTGCACAAAACTGAATTAAACACATTATAATCTCAAACGGGCTGATGTGGCTCTAGAGTCGTTGGTTTATATATTGTAAAGTTTATTTATGCAGAAGATTTTAATGAATAATCTGCTGCAGTGTCACTTGTACAATAGAGTTTGGAAACGTTGGGTTTGATCTGCAGTGGATTGTGGGATTAAACCTCAGAGCTCCTGACGCTGGTGAGGAACATGGATCTGTTAAAATAATGAACCTCCCGAACTTCCTCTGCTAAAGGAGCTCATGGTTCTCGTACATTTACAGAGTTAATACAAAGATGAGCTTGAGTTGTTTTATTTATGAATGAAAAGAAGGCAATATGTATGATTTCTTTTATTTTACAGTTAAATAATTATTTATGTGATTAGGGATTTTTATAATCTTAAATGTGGCAGAAGCACTTTGTTCTTACATGAACTGCCGACGTCTTGCACTTCAATAAAAAAAAAAGACCTTGTGGAATTTGGCAGATTTGTTCTTGCAGTTTTCAGTTTTAGGGGGTTATTTTTTCCTGTACAGATATCGAGATTTATGTCGTATTTCGAGATATATTTTTTGATCCATATTGCCCAACCCAACACAACACAGAGCTAAATAATGACCGGACCTGAGAGAAAACTCTTCCCTCAGACACAGTAGGAGTCAGATTTTGGTTTAATGACTAACTTCAACACTTTTACTTTAGTCTTTATGCTCCGAGCGGCAGAGTGGCCCGAGTCTGCGCACGACACGAAGTCAACTGTCCGAACTTGACCCGAATTCAAAATATTCTCACATTTTTGTGTGACGGCGGTAATGTGCATGCCTTAGCAACTGGCTTTGTGCAGAAAAGTAAAAAAAAAAAACTGCTCTGAAAGTGTTTTCTGATTGTGTGAACTTGTGTTTTGGTTTCTGTTTTGGACACAACTCAAACAGGAAACATTAAAGCTCTGGCAGTGGCAATACATTTACAGTTTTTTTGTATTTGGTTTGATGTTTTTAGTTGAGATTTACGCTGAATACTTTATTTTCACCTGCACTTTACTTTTCAGTTCAATTCAT